CTCCTTCACAGCTGGGGGCACCAAGAGAGATATCAGATAGGCACAGGGCAGCACCCACCAGGCTTGGGCGCTTCTCCTAGCCACCCCCTTGGGTGTAGGGAGAGATGTCTGGAGCTGGGCAGAGGGCTCAGCATCCCACCCACTGCTCAGCCCTGCCGGTGGGAAGGCCAGGTGGGAAACAGCCCCAGCATCCTGCATGGGGTCACCCCTCTTCATACAGCCCTGAGCACCCTGCTCAGCGTCCCCCCCTTCCTCGTATAGCCCCGCAGCGCCCTGCTTGGTGTCACTCCCTCCTCATACGCCCCCACCCCCAGCACCCTGCACAGGGTCACCCCTACTCATATAGCCCCCAGTGCCCTGCTCAGGATCACCCCCTCCTCCTATGGTCCCCAGCACCCAGCACAGGCCCTCCAGGTGCTGCTAAGCCCAGGCTCAGCTCACACCCACTCGACCCACCCCAGGGTGCTGGAGCCTGCCTGGGGCTCAGAGCTGAGTTGGTCCAGGCTCCCTGGTGCCTCAGGACCCTACCTTGCATGATGTCTTTCATCACCGACTGTAGCACAACTTCCTCGTAAGTGTTCTCCACCAGGATGAAGCTGGCAAAGTCCTCAAAGATCAGCTCCTGAAACTTGGCCAACTCCTGCCACAGGGGAGAGGTCGCTCAGCCCGGGGGGACGGGAGGGAGGGATGCCCCAGCCCCTCCGCAGGGGAGTTGGTCCTTCCCCCCACCAAACTTTAGCCTCTTACCCCCTTGCAGGTTGGTGCCAGCTTTTTCAGCAGGCAGGGGATGGTGATCTGCAGCAGGGCCTCCCTGAAGAACTTCTTCCGCACAGTGCTGCTGTCATAGTCGTATTTCTGCAAGGCAAGAGAGAGGGCAGCCCCGGGTCAGTGAGGGCCGTGGGCTGGCAGCTCCCCTTCCCACAGGCACAAGCCCCTGTGGTTTGCCCCCCCCAAGTGATTTGCACAGGTGTGAACAGGTTCCTCTGCCCCTTGAATCCTTCTCTCCAGCCAGTTCCCAGGGTGCCTGAGCCCAGGCAGGAGCCAGCTCCTCCATTGCTGTCTGCAGAAGGGTTTTTGGGCCAGTGTGAGCTCTGAGTGGCTTTTACAGTGATGCATGTGGTCAGAGGTGACCTGGCTCCTCCAGGTGATTTCCCACTCCCATGCCCCGCATCCCAGCAAAATGCATGAAAATGTCAATATAAAGAAGTATTTCCCCAGAAGACTTTTGTTAAAATTGGTAAGGTCACTCCTGGCCTCTTCCCGGGGTTCTGGCCCTTGGAACAAGACCACCAAAGGTCATGACCCACCACCCCTCACCTTGAGCACCCTCTCAAGGATGCGCTGGATGGACTTGCACAGGTCATCTTTGCCCTGCAGCTTCCCCAGCTCCTGATGGAGCAGTGTCTCAAACGTGTACATGGCGTTGTCCATTTGCTGTGAGCAGAGGCAGATGGTCAGCACCGGCGTGGGAGCTCAAAGGGACCAACCATGGGGGTGGGCAGTGGGCTCTTCTGGGGCACTGCCACACCAAGATGAGCCTTGACACTGGCAAGGTCCCCAGCATCCCAAGTGTGGCATCCACAGACTCCACCATGAGGACCAAGGGTGCTGGGGGAGGAGGGTACCCAAAGCTGGTTTGCACACACACCCCACCGCCCACCCCCTGCTTCTACACCCCACTCCAGGTTTGGCTGGACCAGACCCCAGAACTGGGCTACTGGCCTTGCTGGTGCCAGTAGGCTTGGTGGTAGCTGTGCCACTCAAGCCTGGGTGCTGAGTCCATGTTGGAAGGGTGCTCTACGCTGCTTCCCACCCATGGGCTCCCTCCCTGCTTGGGTTCCAGACCAAAGGGCACGGCCAGATCCATCACACCCCCTTAGCTGGGTGCACATGACATGAAGGTCCCTGAGACAGGACAGACATCGCAGCCAAATCCCTGCCTGGGTTGGACTAGCCTGGGTTCCTCACTCTGCCTCCATTCCCCAGCCCTCTGCACTCAGGCCAGAGGGACACGGGAGGACCTCGGTCCCTGTCGCACCTGTCTCATGTGGATCTGGGCCCTCTGCTTGAAGACGGATGTGCTGGAGACATCAAATCGCTGCTGAAGGCCCTCCAATTTCAGCTGGTCCATCTTCTCATAGCATGACTGCATCTTGACGGGGTGGAAGGCCAGGTGGGAAAGCTTCTCCATGTACTGGGGATAAAGCCAAGCTCAGCAGGGCAGGACAGCCTCTCCATGTACTTGGGGCTGGGACATGCCGCCCCACACCAGGCAGGGCAGCCTGCACCACCACATGGGCTTCATCCCCAAGTATTTCTCAGCCCAGGGTCCCCCAGTGCCATCTGCACCAGGGATGGCAGCAGGACTAGCCCTACCACCCCCAAGCCCACCAGCCAGCAAGGAGCATCACCAGGACTCACCTCTACCAGCTTCTCCAGGCCACCCTCATTGACAACGTTCATGTTCATGTCCGTCACCTCCTTGAAGAACACCTCCCGCACCTCAGCAAAGCCCTGGCTTGTAGGCGTCATCAGGGCCTCCAGGATGGAGGAGATGTAGGGCTGGACGTGATTACGGACACAGACCTCTGCTTTAGGGAGGACGAATGCTGGACAGAGAGCAGGGGTAAGCATGGTGAGGCTCCTCCTCTGCCCTTCCAGCTCTGCAAATCGGGTCATAAACCCACCCTAGGGAGAGGGACCTGCCCCTCTCCCCACACCCCTCCAGGAGACTTGCAGGACAATGCAAGGGGTTCTTGCAAGCGACCCTCAGTCTGTATTGAACCTGTTCCTCCCCCACTGCCTTGATGGGGGGGTCACTGCCCACCTTGTCCCCCACCTCCTGGGACAATGCCAGTGAGGACCTGCACCCTTGCCGCTGTGGCTGCTGGCATCCCCAGGGCTCCCCAGGCCATGCTGGCAGGAGCCACACTGCACCCGAGGAACAGCCACACCTTGGTGAAACGGTGGTGATGCCACACGAGGAGCCCAGCACAGACACAGCCACACACATCCATGTCCATGCGTCTCCCCGCAGGGCTGTACCTCGGATCTTGCTGGCCAAGTGCTCCTTCGAAGTGATGATCTGGTCCATGTCTGTGCGGATGGTGCTCTCCATCTGGGGCCGCTCCTGTTCGCACTTGGCCATCACTGCATCATACTGGGCCTTGGTCTGCTCATAGACCATCCTATAGACAGCATCTGAGATCTGGCAAGAGAGAGATGGGGTGGTCAGCTGCCCCCCACACCTCCTGCTGCCCCCACTAACCATCACCTCCAGCACCAGATGCCTGCAGGACCTGTCAAGCCTTCACCCATGCCCTGGCCAGACCCCTCCTCGCAGCCTGGCAGTCAGTTCTCCACATCAGGGACCCCCGAGCTGGGTGAGATGAAGCCCCCACAGTGCAGAAGCTGCTTCAAAGCGGTGCCCAAGGGGCACAGAGCTGAGCGCTCCCTCCATCAGCCAGTGTGCCCTAGGCAGGTCTGGGGATGTTGCAAGTCCAGGGATGCAGCAGGTCCGGGGATGCTGGATGTCCAGGGATGCAGCAGGTCTGGGCAGGAGAGCCCCTGACCCGTTTGAAGCCTGTGCCCTGCCCTGCTCAACCTGCATGGGATCTCAGGAGCCAACCCTGTGAGCAGGATGGAGCCGCTCACTGAGGCTTCATGCTCACTTTGCAACCAAACACCATGATTTCGGGGCTGGCGGGAGGCAGAGCCGTGCCCACCTCCCTCCCTCGGGCTTCCCAGCTTTGTAGCTAAGACCGCAGCTACTGAAAAAGCTGCTCCAGTGGCTTTTTAGGCTGCTCCAGTGGCACATTATGAGCCTGGTGGTAATTATCTATCAGCTTTTAAGGTTTTAACAGGCAGTTTTGAAGAGCCCTCAGTCTTCCGCAAGGGTTTGGGCTGGATTTAGCCTGTGCTGTTCTAAAAATGGCTCGCTAAATATAGCCGGGATGGGCTTTGCTCCAGGGCTGGGCTTCCTCCTGTTTGCTTCCCTCGCCCCAGGGACCCGGCAGCACAGGCAGAGATGGGCAGGCCTGCTTGCAGGGGCACAACAAGGAGCTTTAAAAAGCCACAGTGGAGAATAAGGACGGCTTCTTTG